CAAACTGTTGGTGTTTGCGTTGGCCCAAACACCGCGAGGGGGTGGTTGCGCTTTCGGCGGCATCGTACGAGTGTGGTCAGAAAGAAAAGAAGAAATCTGTGTAGTAGTGGAGTCAAATTGATTTAACACAAAGGAAGAAAAAGCTGAAGGAGAGAGACGGCAGCTCTACATATCGTACGGAGGGAGCGTTTGCTCTCGTGGAAATCCTCCTTCACTAGAGCAAACAAACGCCGCTGCTCCACCGCAAGTTAGGCAGCCGCGTGCTCCTAGGAAAACAAACAAACGCAAACATGTCCGTACGAGTGGAGGAGGGGAGTATTGTAAAGGGCTGCGCCCGTGATCTCTACTGAAGAGGATCACGTGATCTTCGACCACGTGATATACCTTCTGTACGGACACGTGATCAGAAGCGAGCAGGTATAAGAGAAGTCTGTACTTAGTTATCTTCTCTTTTTCTTATCTTTTAGCTTCTGTACGATAGGTAGAAGCATACTCATTCGCTAGGCCTCTCCGCCCATAACAGGGGGGGACAAAAAAAACGTACTCGAAAAAGTTAATGTTTTTAAAATAATATATCTCGGCGGCTATATAAGCTATAGTAGTAAGAAAAGAATATATTATAGAGAATATCTAGAAGTTTATATAAGTAGTACAATAGTGTCATTAGTAAGCATATCTGCTTAGTAATATCGACGTGAATCTAGAGGGAAAAAATCAAACTACTTTATTAGCATTTTTCGCGCTGCTATTTTTAGATAATTATAAATATATTACATTAGCTAGATACTAGACTTTCTAGATTATATAAGTATATATATATTATATAGAGTTATATATATAGATATTGAGAAAATCTAGTAATAGATGTATAGAGTCCAAGTCACGTGATTAATATCTAACTAAGCTATTAGTAATCTTATAGTATATATTTACTTCTTTTAATATCTAGAAACTTAATCACCTATTTCCTCACTATGCAGCCAAAATTATCCAAGTTTGAATCTGACGTCTATCGTTTACTTAAGGCAGATATTGCTATTAAAGATATTATTAAATACTTAAATAAACCTTCAAGATCTATCTACGACGCTATTTATCGAATTAAAAAGAAAAAAAAAGATATTAATATTAAAGAAAGAGCTCGAAGAGGCAGAATCTTAAAGGTATCTTCTAGGGCAAAAAGAGCTATTAATAGAGATATAACTAGAAGTCCTAAGAAGACAAATCGGAGAATTCTAGAAGAGAATAATCTAGATATATCGTCTAGGTCACTTCGAAGAGTTCTAAGAGCTGAAGGTTGGACAGTTAATACCTGCTTTAAAAAGTCTATTTTAAACGCTAAAAAAGCTAAAGATAGACTAGCGTGGGCTAAAAATAGATTAAAAGAGCTGGGAAATATTAACTTTAGTAAGATTATATTCTTAGATGAGTCGGGAATACAAAGGTATCAAGGAGCTCAGTCAGAATATGCAAGAAAACGCGGAAATCAGCAGCTAGGGCAAAATCTAGCTAAGAGCAGAACAAGAAGTACGTTTAATAATATAATATATATATATATATAATCTATAAACTCTATAGATTATATATATATAAATATATTTAATATTAGCTAATTACTAATAAATATATAGGCCATGATATTACTATCCAAGTCTGGGGAGCTATTTGGATAGGTGGACGATCAGATCTATGTTACACGGGGTATGGGTCTATACTTCTCTATCCTGGTCCGCACTAAGGCAGGTGAGTATTACGTTAGTGTTCCGTGAGGCTTGTCTGGCGATGCAGTAGAGTTGGCGTGCTTAAGGAGGGTTTGACAAGACTAATCTATTTAATAGACTAACTTGTGACAATCTTGTTAAGTAAAGATACTAGTAAGAAAGTACAATTTGAGTTGACCACAACGAGAGTAAATAATGAAATCCATCCATCCTTATATCCTCATTGCTTCTTGTCCTGCCATCCCTTCCTTCCTTGCCATCCCTAGGATGGTTGTGATGTTGGGGATGGCTGCCATCCCAAGGCGCCCTGCCATCCCTCGGATGGTTGCCCTTGGCGGGATGGCACATCACGTGACCTAGCCCCGCAATGATCATTACCTTCTGACGTGGACGTCCATAGGCCTTCAGCCATCTCGTCGCTCGTCAAGGAGAGAATCCTTCTGTAACGGCGCAGGCAAGACTACTCGGATCAGTATCGGCGGTAGTGTCACTCAGAGGCATATGGGAGTGCGTGGGACATCAAACGAGCCTTAATTCGAATAGACACCTATAGGCCTTGTACGAAAGGATATCAAAAGTCTACAGAGCTAGCTACAGGGAGTGTCTCCTTATATACTTATCTTAGTCGGATCCGAATCGGATCCGACCTCACAACGAGTGGTTGATGAAGAGGGCGGCGAGTACTACCTCCGATCCGGCTCTGGGATTGGTCCGATACATGGCGAAGTTGTAACATCGTTACACCTTCTTGTTACTTGTAACAATCTAGTAGTAATTAAGACGCCAAAGACGACTATTTCTTATCGAAATCACCATTATATCCGAAAATGCCTTATCCCGCATATTAAACCTAGACTTAAGAGAGGTAAGAAACCTTAACTATTTCTTAATATATATTTATATACAGGGGGGTGACAAAAAAAAACGTAGTTAAAAAAGTAATAGTTTTTAAAAGATGATAATTCAGCTTATAGAGCACCTATACTTAAACGGGTTAGTCCATTGAAAACTAGATATCAAGTAGTTTATAATGACTATATTACGTAATGCTTAGTAAGCTTATTCCTGGCTACAAAACATGCTAAAGTTCGAGAAGTAATTTTTCTAGATTCTAACTAAATATTTCGCGCTGCTATTTTTAGATCTTATATACTAACAAGTGCTATATATAGTTAGATTAGTGAGATATATAATATATATTAAGATAGAGACATATTATCTATTAATTTTTTGTTGATATAGAAATACTTTATTTTAAAACAAGATTTTTTCTATTATCTTCTAGCTA